TGAATGTGCAACATTAGTTCTCTTCAAATATACTTTTTACCAATCTAATCTTTCTCTCTTTTACAATCATGTCTATAAGCAGAGTGAGGGAGAGAGGAAAGGAAAGGAAGTGAGTGGTAGAGACAGACAGTGACAGTTGTGTGAATGAATCTAGGATGACACATTTAACTCCCTGATGCCCAAATGGAAGAGAGTATGTAAGATGAAGAGACAATCTTATCATCTAGTCATCTCCCATCATACACACTGTTGAGACAGAGAGGAACATGTTGTAACGCTGTGAACCAAGCAAGAAGAGCTGAAGTGTCCAGAAAAGCCTTAATTAATGATTTAATCGATGATGTGGATCATTTCAAATACATAATATGAAATGGTTTCAATTTTAACCAACAGTTGCTGTAGCCGTGTAGTATGTCTGTTTTTAGATGTGTGCAACTATGCCTCCAGTCTAAATAATTTACACACAAGCAGAAAGCCTCTCCCTGTCACTTTGTTATTAAAGACGTTTATGAGACATTAAAAAAGAAAAACAAAGCATTTTCTAAATCCAATTTCCACATAAAATGAAACAACCACAAAAAAGCACCAGCTGTAAGTTGGGAACCCCAAAGCTTTTTTTCCTTCAATAAAACACTGGACTCTTATCACAAGACTGTTGTGACATGTTGAACGGTCATAATAATCTTAAATACTTGAAAGTTTTTATTATTTGGATTTTTTAAAACATATGAACATTTATATGTATTTATGTGTGTATTATATCATCTTTAGGTCAAATTACAAAAACGAACTACCACTTATGCGGGTTGTTTCTAATGCAGTGTCTATGGGGCTGAGAGTGAATTTGACATTTTTCTCTCCTCTCACACAATTTTTTTCCTTTTTTTGAAAGTCTTGATAACACCATCATGGCCTTTTTCTTTTATTATTTCAGCAAATAGGATTGTAAAAAAAATATTTTGTTGTACTCTCCCATTCACTTCACTCTAAGTTTTCCTGACTATGACCAATTCCGTAAATGTGAAAAGGGTCTATAGAAAAGATTTTTAGATGAAACTGTCATCATTATTGTTCATTAAAATGCAAGCCAAAGGCTACCAGAACTTTGACAGTCAAAAAACGCAAATAGCTAAACAAAAAGAATATCTGTCACACCTGATAATAAATTGCACCGTTATGAAAAGGTGCTATGTGTAATAAACGTAACATTTATTACAACTTTACTAGTATTTATTCAGTCTCTGCAAAAAAATCCTGAGCATGCTAATGAGACACTCTATGTCACATAATGATGTAAATCATATTCAGCTCTCATAGTGCCTTGACTTACACTGTATGAATCACCAGAGACCACAATTTCAACCTTTTTTCTTTATATTATTCTAAAAATAAATAAATAAATAAATAAATAAATAAAAATGTCAACTGTATTTTGAATGGGCTGAGAAAAAATTTTCAGGTTAACCCTCTCAATCAGTCAGCAGCTGCATCAAAACAACTGTACAAATGCATAAATATGGAAGCACGTCATATAGAATATATTAAAAAGACATGAACAATGTAAACAAGAATTACTGGAATATATCAATATAATCCTATTACACATAATCCACAACCACTTTGCCTTAGTGGCTTATAATAATTCAGGTTCTGCCAAACAGAAAAGAGAAGAAAAATATTTATCCACATAACACTGGGATGCTTAAGCTTAACAGTGCTGGAAGCAGCCCCTCCTCTTCTCTAGCACACCTACATCTTAAAGTCACCCTGCCTCTATAAAACCAGTCTTTATTTCTCCACCAAACTGGCATACGAGAATGTGGTTAAACAGTGATGCCTGCCATGTCTGCAGCCCATCTGTATTCATACAACAGAGGACTGACTCCAAGGAGGCAGAAAGGCGGGAGAGAAACAGAACATGCCATTGCGAACTGCTCTTTCAGTCCACTCACTGCTGTTATTTTTAGCCTGACGGGAACCTCGAAACAGGAGAGAGCAAAAGACATGCTTGTGATAAAGTAAACAGAAGGTTGATGTGTCATAAAATGTGTTTACAAACTAGACCGCACCACGATTCTGTGATACACTTATGGCAAAGATGGTTATGACAGCTCCAGCTATCACAAAACTAGCTCGATTTTTAATGCTGGTGTCCATCGCCATTGAGAAAAACTGTAGGTCAGTCATAAGCAAACAGTTTGCTTGAAAAAATGAGGGAGGATAAGGAATAGAGAAAGACGGCGAAAGAAAAGCAGAGTAAATAATTTAAATTCTGCAGGCTGAATGTAGATCACTGCCTCAACACATGGAAGAAAACTGCAAAAGCTCACGACTCATGACAACTTCTTTACATCAGTCTGTCTCCCTCTGGTGTCCACTCGTTCAGCCTTTTCCGACTCAACTATTTCTACAAAAGTCTTTCACATCATTTATTTCTCATTATTTTCCATCAGTTATTCTTTAATGGGAAAATTGATTGGATTATGCATTTCAAAGATTCACTAAACTTCTTTGTGGCTTAAATTATTCATTGCACACTATTCAATGTGATTCCTAGTAGCTCTATGACTTCTGATATTTTTGCCTCTTCAGATAAATGTGTACACTTCTCTGCACTCCAGATGGCTGAGGTTTCAAAGTTGTCAATGAAACTAAAATTAGTAAATGCAGCTATAAGGTTACATTCCATGTACAGTGCAGAAAGGCAGCCTGTAGACAAATAGACTGAGACGGTGTACAGTAGATATTACAAATGTATTTTTAGAGTTACTTTATCTTTGTCTTTATCCAATATTTACCAACCATAAACTAATCCAAATTTACATGCCATGCTACTTCTACAATACACTGACTTCTAATCAGAGACATGATTAAAGAATGATTAAAATGGTGGCTATAATGTGAGCATCTGAAAAACACTTCTGTGGACAGAGGTTAAGGACTTGGGATCACAAGGCCTCGTTAAATGTTTCTATGAGATGAATGAGAAAAAAATGAGGTTTACTGAAAGAGTGGTTTTGAGGGTTGAGTGCAAGGTTAAAGGTCAACAAAATCTGTTTCGACACTGCATTTTGATCTGCCAGAGAAGTGGGTGTGTGGGTGCAGTTCTGTGCACATTTAATGATTTCAGATACTAAAAGGTCGATTAGAAAAGGCAAGGAATGCAACTCTTAGTCTCTTTTCCTGTATACCATTGGTCTAAATAAAACACTACAGTTTTTTTGGGGGGGGGGGGTTGCTTTGCCATTACACTGAGCCATCTAATCTAATATAAGAATAAAGTTGAACCTCTTCACTGCAAGCTTGTGTGAAATATTAGGGCTGAAACATGGCCTCTTCAGAAGATATTAAGGATACATGATTCAGTAGGTCTGACCTTAGCTTGCCAGCTAGTTGGACATGATAGAGTAACAATAGAATAAAAGTAAACATTTTGATAGTAAAGACATGAACCATAAAACTGGTCCCCCTCTTTTAATAAAAGCCAGCTCCATATTGCTTCATAATGCAATCACATGTTAAAATCACATCAAAATGTAATCATAATGGTCCATTCAATCATTTTCTTTTGGCTTTGTCTCTTTATTCATTAGAGGTCGCCACAGCGGAATGAACTGCTAATTTATCCAGCATATGTTTTACACAGCAGATGCCCTTCCAGCTGCAACCTAGTACTGAGTAAACATCCATACACTCAATCACACTAATACACTACAGCCAATTTAGTATATTCAATTCACCTATAGCACATGTCTTTGGACTGTGGGGGAAACCGGAGCACCTGGAGGAAACCCACGGCAACACAGGGAGAACAAGCAAACTCCTCACAGAAATGCCAACTGACCCAGTCAGTACTCAAACCAGTGACCTTCTTGCTTAGAGCCGACAGTGCTAACCACTGAGCCAACGTGTCGCCCATGATTAAGTTGCTTTCACATGAAAATGTTACAAAAACACTCAAATATGTTGCACATATTTCACATGCATTTTTAACAAGTGATTACACAAATATTTATTTTCTCTTGGGACATTCTGTTTGGGTACACACACTCAGAAATATAGGTACGAGAGCTGTCACTGGGGTGGTACCTATTCGAAAGGTACATATTTTTTACATAAAGGATATATTGATATTGGTACCTCAAAGGTCTATATGAGCACCCAACAATTTCAAGAGGCACACTTTTGTACTTTTAAGTACTAATATGTACCCTTGAGGTAATAATAAGGACCATTTAAGTACAAATATGTACATTTCAAAAAGGTACCACCCCAGTGACAGCTCTTGTACCTTTATTTCTGAGAGTGTACTATGAAATTTTCCCTGAAATTCAAGTTTTAAGGTATAACCTACCTAATATAGCCTATGTGAAACTTGTTTATTCACTGAGCTCTGTAAAAACAATATTATATTACAATCATGTTGTACTGAACCTCAGCACTGCTGTGTGCTTGTATAAAAGCAGACAATTTTAAAAATGAGGCAAAAATGTGCACTGTGAAAAAGACAAGTACATACATATCTCGTATTCTCCAGGAGCTCTTAGAATATGGGAAATGGTGGCTTTCCCCCTCCCCTCGCCTCCCCCTTTTCACCATCGCTTTCTCTCGAATGAGACCAAGCTGAGAGACTGCACATGCTGACATCAGCAAGCCTCCGCGAGCCACAGCGCCGCCCGCTCTCGTCACACAGCACAGCTCACCTCACGCCCGTACGTAACACACCAAACACACACCACAAATAGGCTTCGTGCGTCTTGCCACCGTAATACAATGAGAAATAAATGGCTGAAAAATATTCGACTGAAACGTCTTCGATCAAATGATTGCTCCCCGCTTATTTTATGTCACACACAGCCATCATTGAACCAGCGGTAATGTGATTCATCGAGTTTTGAGACATGTTCAGATGACCTTACATATGCCACACTCAATTACACGATACCTGCAACTGAAGGCCCCAGGGTTAGACAACTCTCTAAGTGAGTTTAAAAGGATATGGCCATTCGGTGATCTTTTTGGCGTATTTTCTCACGAAGTTGTCCTCACTGAAGATGAACAGAGATCGGTTGACAGTAAAGCAGTTTTGCCGCACCGGTATAGGGTTGTACAGGGCCATAGTTCTGGCTCGCTGGGCCATTGACTGCTTGTACATTCTCTGCTGAGCCCCCGGCGGGCCGCCCTGCCTGCTGCCGCCGCGGCCGGGGCCCCCTTGAGCGTGTCCCGGTCCTCCGCCATACCTGGACGGCACCTCATCTCCGAACCGAGCCATTCTATAGACACCAAATGCCAGTCTTCACGAAGCAGGAAAAAAAGGGGCGAATATTCAACGCGACCACACCACATTACATCCCATCTGCTTCAAAACTTAATACGTGTATAACTGGAGTACACATTTGTCTTCATGGCTTATAAATGTGACGTTGGGCTTCAGGAGCTGATGGTTCAATTTTTAGGCAAAATAAATCGAACAAACGACAAACTAAATTGAACCAAAAAATAAAAATAAAAAAAACGGGCAGTTCACAGGTTCGTTGTCCAATTCAACACACAAAATGGTCCATCATCATCTTCACCTCATTTTATGTCCAAAATCAACATATTTCCACTGCCGTGCAATTCTTGAGTAAATCTCTCATTTTCGGTGTCTCCATCCTTAGGTTTTTTCCAGAAATGTCTCTCTCCTGTGCGTTTCCTTGAAAAATCAGGTTGTAATGATCATAGCTACAATCATTTGTACGATCTAGGTGTGATAACCAAATGATCAAAAATTAAAACATTAAAATCAATAATTTGGGTTTCGTTTAACTGTACATTTTGATGATTGTAGTGTCAATATGTATTTAAATCAGAAGAAAAAAATACAATTTAAAAAATATTATTTATTTATTTCGCAACATCCGCAATATTTGGCACGGTGTAGCTATAATCTGCCTTCGGTCACCTCGCGCTCACGTTTACTCGCATGTATTTACGGCTAAGCTACAGATAGAAACCCGATGTTAATTCTGTTTTCTTCCTTTTTACCACACAGGTAATTTATTCGGATGCAAAAATAGATCATCACAAGTAGCCTATCGACTGATTTTTTTCTGTGCTTACTGGCAAGGTGTCATCCTTTTCGCCAGAGCCATTACTGACATTTCAGTGCAAAAGAACCAATCCAAGCGTCATAAAATCCAATGAAGGGACGCGCAGTGACAGAAAGCAGAAGCATCAATCGCGCGGGGACATTGGCGACATCTCCGGGTTCCCATAGTCGCTCACGCTCCCCTGCACTGGACTCTGGGCCGCGTACGATCTGCTCATCTTCCCCGAGTGAGGGCAATCCGATCGTGAGAACACTCGGATCCCTCTATTCCTTATTTCTGCCAATGTTGAGCTGTCTGTTAGCCTCGTTACTCTCCGTCAAGCGCCCCTGAGGAAAAAAGAGGGGGAGGAGGCTGTTGAGGACGAACGTGGGGTGGGGGCTCGCAGGAATATCAGCTAGTGAAACGCAAGCCAAACGAAACAGTTAGCTCCGATCAGCTGGCGAGCTAAGCTATAATGAGCCACAGATCAATTCAGCACTCTGGGCAGTTCTTGCAGCACATGACGCACGCACACGCACCCCGCCGACTAATTCACCCATCCAACTCCAGTCTGTTCCGCTACCTTCAGCCACTACTCAATGTGTTCTCACCCTCGCCTCACCTGCCTTTACCGCATGAAAATACGCCGCACGCCTGCTTATTCGACAGAGTACTCGTGCGCTTTTCGAGATAACGGGACGTAACAAAAGTGACAGCGCGTTGTCAGGTTAAGGACTGTTTGTGCCAGTGGTCGGGAGGCGAGCGCTGGGAGATACAGATGCGCATTCAAACGTGAGTCTCTCGGGAACGGCTCCGCTTTGCGAGGGCACGCAGGGCGAGGAGCGACAAGCTATTCTTAGACGCAGACATTTCAGAATTAATAGACGGAGATTTCCCATCAGTACAGCTGACAACTCTCCCTCTTCACCAACCCATGCACCCACCCTCTTACACACGACAGAGCAAAAAATATATATTTTTCTTTAAAAATGGCAGCTGTGAAATGTACATGACTTAGAGACAATATAGCAAAAATAAGCATGTGGTATGGCATTTAGGTGATTTTTTATGTGTACAAATTGCTGCCTGCTATGACAATAGATCATATATTGCTAATATACACTGTTAGTAAGAATACCAATTACTGATGTTTATGTATTTACTAACATAAACCCACAATGACAACACGTGTCCATCTTTTATCATAGTTTTATATTTACTAATGCATTATTAAAATCCAAATTCATCCTTGCTAACATTAGTTAAAACACTAGGTTAACATGGACAATGTAAAACTTTACTTTTATTAACTAAAGCTAACAAAGTTTATTACTGTACAAAATGTGTTGTTCATTGTTTGTATGTTATTAAATAAGTTAACTAATATTACGAATATAACCTTTTGGTAAAGTGTTACTGATAATATCACAGTTTTAGGCAACTAGAAAGCCAATAAAGACAGTAAGACACACATAGAACACACTCAAGACATTAAGCTGTAAAAACTAATACTGACATTACTACTAAACAGGGAATTCATTCAATCATTTTCTTTTCGTCTTAATCCCTTTATTAATCTAGGGTTCTTACAACACTGAACCACCAATTTATCTAGCATATGTTTTACCCAGCAGATGCAACCCAGTACTGGGAAACACCCATACACTCTCATTCACACACACACACACACACACATACATTACAGAATATGTAGCTTACCCAATTTGCACGTCTTTGGACTTGGGGGAAACCAGAGCATCCAGAGGAAACCCACTCAAACACAGGGAGAACATGCAAACTCCACACAGAAATGCCATTGACCCAGCAGAGGCTCGAACCAGAGACCTTCTTGCCGTGAGGTGACAGCGCTACACACTGCACTGCCCTAAACAGGGAATGTAGTCAATTAATTTAAAATTCTTGAGCATAAGTGCCTATACTGTTGACTTGCATTAAAACATATGCATGCATTTTTAGTACAGTGAATGTGTGTTGTATCCAGTAAATGGTTTAAATGACCACATAATAAAATGTAGTAACCAATTAATAGCTATTTACTGAAGCATGCCTATTTGTTACACTGCAGATCATTTATCGCATTAAGGTATAGCGAGCTGAGAGTGAGTGTTGCTTCAGCAGCAATAGGCCATGCTTTAGGACACAGTTGTTTTGCTTGTGGCAAAAATCAATAGACCCGTGCGACCTTAACAGTGCCCACCTATCGGATATCACAGGAAGCAGTAGGCAGAGGAAGATTTACAGTACTGGTCCTCCTAAACACTCATCTCTAACATTTGGGCACAGCCATGGTACAATAGAAAGCTCGTCTCATTCGAGCTGTCTGAGTCAGTTATATCCCTTTTAACCTTAGTGTTAAAAACTCAGCATAAATCAAGAAATATAACAATACCACAGCCTGCTATCTGCTGTAAAAAGAAATGGCCATGTGAACTGATGGGAGAGAATATCCTCCGATCTGTGCTCATCTCTTGATCTTGTGCAGTAAGCTGTTCACTGTCTCCACCAGCACGCGTGTGATCAACCGTATGTGATGCGTTTAGCTTCAGTCCGGAAAAGCCCGGGGTCAAAAGCTCGAGCAGCACCAGCCTCCAGCCTCTAGGCTTCAGCCAACAGATCAACAGCGGCTGACAGAACAGTTTCTTGTATATCTCTGAACAAGCAGAGAGAACAAAGTGTGTGATATGTGAAATATGCAATGGCATTAATAGCTAAACATAGCTTTTCCAAATGCATTACATTTAGGGTTATGTCACGCAGCTTTCAAAAGCTTTGTATGTATACATTTGTTTATACAAATGATTTTGTCATGGCACATTTGGTCAGGAAACTGCTGTGTACAGAGTACCTCTTAAGATATATTCAACATATGCTTTCCCATGCAGGCCTGAGTAGGCTAATTTCTGATTAGTTCTACAAGTTAAGAGGGAACTGGTTAATGAACACAAACACAATTTGCTCGATGGTTTAATCTTTTACTATAGTCAAGTCAGGCAAGAGCAGCAATTTTGACAAAAGCACCTCCAGTTGCCTTGGCAAGGTAGCTGTCCATGGTTCTGAAACACTGAAAGCAGAATATTACTGGATCCTATTATTCATAATAAATATACCAATACAAAGTTTCCCTATGGCAGGGCGGTAGCGCAGTGGGTAGGGATGTCACCTCACAGCAAGAAGGTCGCTGGTTGGAGCCTTGGCTGCGCCAGCTGGCATTTCTATGTAGAGTTTGCATGTTCTCCCTGTGTTAGCATTTCCTCTGGGTGCTCCAGGTTCCCCCACAAGTCCAAAAATAGGTGAATTGGGTAAGCTAAAATGTCCAGAGTATTTGTGTGAATAAGAGTGAATGGGTGTTTCCCAGTGATGGGTTGCAGCTGGAAGGGCATCTGCTGCATAAAACATATTCTGGATAAGATGGTGGTTCATTCCCCTTTGGCGTCCCCTGTATAATAAAAGGACTAGGCCAAAAAAATAAATAAATGGATGAATGAAACTCTCCCTAAAATTATTTTTCTAGGTGTTACCAACACGTTAGTCTTAAGCCAGTGTGCTACAAAACACATACAATAGGCGCATATAGAAAACATTAAAATTCAAATCTTGTAACTTGTAGTTGCAGACTTTTGTCAACATGATCAACAATTTTTATGACATCTGATGAGATGAAAGTCTACTATGATCTTGTGATCAGTCAAATGCCCTCTAATATCTCAAGTGCTACAAGAAATCAGAAGTTGAAATCAGTCACTTATTCGCATGTAACCAAACACTTATATAAGAAAATAAATGGTAGCCAACACATTGTTGGTTTGACCTCCTCTGTTCATTGGTCATAATAATGCAATGAGGGAAGGAACCCTTAAAAGCCAGGATGCTTAAACATGACGTGTTCGTTTAAATTTCAATTCATCTTTATTTCTATAATGCTTTTACAATGTAGATTGTGTCAAAGCAGCTTCACAGAAGATTATAGTAAATTGAAACAGTGTCAGTCCAGTCCAGTTTCAGAGTTGAAGTTCAGCTTAGTTCAGATCAGTGTGGTTTAATTTCCACTGCTGAGAGTTTAAACACTGAAGAGCAAATCCATTCATGCGCAGCTTCACAAATCCCGAAACATGCAAGCCAGTGGCGACAGCAGCAAGGAAAAAACTTCACCAATCGGTGAAAGGATAAAAAACCTCGAAAGAAACCAGGCTCAGTTGGGCATGACCAATTCTCCTATGGCCAAGCGTCTTGTGCAGAACTGCAGTCTAGGCGCCGGAGGCTGGAGAACGCTGGACATCTATCGTGGAGATGCTACAGGTGGGAGAGTTCACCAGCTGGTGTACAGGCTGACCCTTCAGGATCGATGGGAGGACTCGTCTGTTACTGGGGTCTTACAGGAATCAGACCCATGCTCTCCACTCCTTCATGACCACCAAAGCAGCTGCTCAGGATACAGACTGGTCCAAGATTATGGAAATCTCGGGAATAATAAATACAGAATAATATAAGCGCAGATGTCGTTCAAATTATGATGTCTTTTGGGAAGTGTTCCTGGCTCTGGTTGCTCTAAATAATGCGGACTAACAATCCTTTAGAGGATTTGGATTTCAAAAGCACTTGTTTTTTTATGTGCATGCTAATGCAAAGAGATGCGTCTTTAATCTAGTTTTAAACTGACAGAGTGTGTCTGCTTCTCGAACTGTGCTAGGAAGGCTGTTCCAGAGTTTAAGTGTCAGATAAAAGAAAGATCTATCGCCTACAGTTGATTGATATTCTAGGAATAATCAATTGTCTAGAATTGAGTGTAGAGGAGGTGATGGGCATTATTTGAAGTACATCTGAATATCCAGCCTGATCTCACGAGAAAACGTATTTTACGTTTTGCCAATTTAGTGACTAATTCGTACAAATTCGTACGAGTTCAGTGGTCTGAAATTGTACGATTTTAAAAAGGAGGCGGGGCACCTAACCTCACCCCTAAACCTAACCGTCACTGGGGAATGAGCAAATCGTACTAAAATGTACAAATTAGATCGTATGAATTATTACAAATTAGCCACTAAATGAAAAAGTAACGAATTGCTGTGAGATTGTGTTGGAATATCTGTAGTATTTATATCACATGTCAAACCAAAGAAAGGCTCTCATTTCCTTCAGTTCTGATTTTCATAACAAAAATGCATAACAATTGTTTACAAAAACGATGTAGGCAACAAACATGTTTTTGTAGAGAATCATGGAAATTAAGGAAAGTCTTATTGGCAATTTAAACTCATGTATGTAGTCCCTTGAAGTACAATAATTTTTTTTTAAATGATTCAAGCATTTTTTATTATCTTTATAGTAACAACACACACTAATTATCACACTAATTCCAGCCTTCTGAGCTTTGGGTCATGACCGAAAGTACAAGATCTCGGATACAAGCGACCGAAATGAGTTTTCTTCACAGGGTGGCAGGGTGCACTCTTGTAAATAGGGTAAGGAGCTCTGTTGCCCAAGAGGAGCTTGAAGTAGAGCCGCTGCACCTCCACATCGAAGAAGTCAGCTGAGGTGGCTCGGGCATCTATTTCTGATGCCTCCAGGACACCTACCTAGGGAGGTGTTCCAGGCATGCCCCAACAGTAGGAGGTTTTGGGGAAGACCCAGGACATGCTGGAGGGACTACGTCTTTCAGCTGGCCTGGGAACGCCTCAGGATCCCCCCGG